TTAACATTAGGTAGCCCAGGATTAGGGTAATCAGGGTCTGTGAAACTCATGGTCAGTGGTCTTTCTGTCTGACCCATAGTTATTCATCCCTTAGCTGTGTTTTGTTTTCCAATTTTTGCATCTTTTTAGTGACCAGAAATCATTTGAACGGATTTTTAGGAGTCACACAAGGAAGAGAGTGAGAGCAGTATGTCTGGCATGCAGTCACAGGGGTTTTGGCAAACGTGTCATATGTGTGTCACATGGTGATCAAGAGCACACATAGTAGGCTTTGGCAGTTACTATATTCCTTTTTGTATTAGGGATTTTTTACTCTTTTTCAAGTTTAAATTATTTCTGTAAAAGAAAATGCTATGCTGTAGTTTCCAATAAACAGTAATGTAGTTAGGGCTTGGCCCAAGTGTATTTAATCTAAGCTATTTTAGCTAGTTATTCTGAAATATATTGGTCAAGCAGAAAGTGTTGCTCAGTACTGTTACTTTTAATACCTTGGACCCAACTGCTTAGAGTTGGGGTCAGTTCTAGTCTTTCTATTCTCATACAGTTTTAAAAAAACATCCTTGCTTTTGCTCGCTTTTAATGTGAAAATACAGCTTTGTGAGACATTTTTAAACAGTTTTATTTTACTTTGAACTAATGTCAATATTTTTACAAACAAAATAAATTACCTTTCCTCTCAAGGAAAATTTCCTGATTCGTCCGGCATTCTTTATGTAATTTTTTTAGAAGAATAAATCTGCACTTGTTTTAATAACCGTTAAAATAACATGCAATAATGAAACAAAAGTCTAATCCAGAGTTGAGAACAAAGACATAAACATTTTGTATGAAGCAGCATTTCGTGTGGGCTGACTCTGCAAAGTGAAAAAGTGACATCAGAAAGTTGATCAAATTACGAGCTCCAGACTTTGGCATTTAATACATTGCTGGCTCTTACCTCTGAAAATGAATCCTTTTTCCTGTGCAGATCCTCTCCAGGATGCACCGAGAACAGGGATATGATCCAGACTGGACTTTTTTATTCCGATTACTCTGTCCAGATGTAATGCCATACTCCAGCCACAATTCCAGATTGATAATAAAGCGTTAATTTAAACTGAAACACTTTTTGTTATGGCTACTAAGCAGTGGAGTTAACGTGGTATGTGTGTACTTACTGTATTCATCCGAAAGCATTCTCCTTTTCTCACAAGAATAACGTTCTTGCTGGGGTTTTAACTGAATGTACTAACTCTGTAGTCATTGAAAACTTCCTTCAGCACGTATGTGTACAATACTATTATCAGATCTTACCAAGCTTAAAGGCATGGCTGTTGCATTGGCACGTTTTTAACAGGTCCACGTGGTTTAGTGCAGAATCCCTGAACCTAGGGCTTAAAGATTTTAATATTTATGATCGAGTTTGTCAGTGGTGCACAGAACAGGACAGTGGGACAGTAAAAAGGTGTCCTGAATTTCATGGGTGTGCCTCCTTCTGGCCAGTATACTCCTTTCTCTCTAAACTTCACAGTCCTGGGCTGAGGCTTGAGATCAGAGCTCTGATCAGCCCCACTTTCTTTCGCTTCCCTGCTATAGTTTGCCCTGTAGTTTCCCCACATTCACCCCTGTCATCTTCGCCTGCCTTAAAACCTGTGAACGTGGCTTTGAAAATGATGAACGCATGTAAACTAAATCAATATCCTGTGAGGAGGCCGACCAGGCTGCATCACTGTTAACATTGGCTACTACCGTTTCTTCCAAGAATAACAGCAGACTCACTGTTGGCGTTGGGATGTAGTCGCAGCACCACAGCCTACTGGGTTCATAACCTGGAACACACATTGTCGTCCTGCCTTTTGCAAAACTAAGTGAAGGGAGCCAGGGTCACAAGTTTGTGTTTCTGGCGTGCTTTGGGGGGAAGGCATAGTTAAAGCCCTGTGGTTGACTGCCATTTACTGAATCAAAGGGTCGACGTTACAGACCTTCAGAGTGGCAGCTCTTTTTCGTAGGAAAATGTGAAGGAACGTGAGGCCCTGATTGCCCCCACGTTTTCTAGCTGCTGTCGGAAAAGGCCCGCTTTGTCACATCGGCCCCACGTTCAGCAGAACCAATTAAGACCACACTGTGCGGCGTCAAGTCAGGCATTCTGAGCAAACGCAAGCTACCGAGCACGTGTTTGGTGCACGTGTGAAAACCCGGCCGGATAAGCGTGAAAGCCGAAATCTGTGTATTCCTCCAAGACCAGTCGTTCAGTTCATCAGTTTTGAGATGCGCACGTAATGCTTAATACTCTTTCCTTTTCTCTTTGGAATCTGGTGGATTGCGATTTTTTTTATTTAAAGCACAAAAACCCCAAATGGTGGGTCTTTAAATTGTTGAACAAGCGGAAGGAATGTGTGGTTAGTTAGGGAGGGTTTTTTTTTTAGTAAAGAGAATTCCACCCAGATCTCGGCACAAAATACACAGCTGTTTGGGTCCATGTAGCAATACCTTAGGGTGCAGCTTGCCTGCATGGCCTGTGCTATCCACCACGTTACTGGGATTGTGACCAGAGCATGTGCACTCTCCCTCCTCGGTCTGTGACTTGAGCTCTTCAGAGGAGCACCTGCAAACACATGTCTTGTGCTTCAGCAGCACCGGAATAAATAAAAAAGAGTTTGTTTTTGAATGAAAGATGTGTATTACTTTTTAATGTTCATACATGGAAAAAAAATAAAGAGATTATTTTTGGACAGTATTCTTACCAGAGCTTAGAGAAGCAAAATATTTTAAAGAAAAAAAAAGTTGTATAAAGATTTTGTAACTGTTATTATATATGAAATGGAAAAGTTATTTTGATTTTTTTAAAAGAAAATAAATATCAGAGAGGTAAGATTGTTTGAGTGTAATTTTATGTTTTTATGTGGTGTGTTTATAAAATGTGTTTGTATTCTTGATGTTTTGGGAAAGAGCTAGTTTTCCCTGTGTACAAAATCCTTCCTTCTGCTGTTATATTCCACAGATTACATTTAATTATTTTTGCATTAGGGTTGAGAAAAATTCATCATTCTAAACTATTAGACGAATTATTTGCGGTTAGTTTAAATGTGATCCAAGTCAACATGCTACTAAGTAAGTTGTCAGTTGTCCGAACACAATATTAAAATGTTAAGTAATCATAGGGAAAATGATATTGCTAATGAAAGACTAATAGAACTCATATGTCATAAAAGATGTTGAGAAAACATATTTAAATCCATCTTCACATTTTATATTCAGGAAATCTAGGGTGTGTGCAAAGGTCTTGGCAATAAAAGGGGATCTATCTCAGGTTTAAGTCCAGAGCTAAATGTATAACAAATATTTAGAAAATACAATGCAAATTAGGTTCTACTTTCGGAAGAAGCTTTTTAAGTTGTGATCCATGTCGAATACAGCTGGAATTAAAGGTTTATGGTGGTGGCTTGTAATCTTTACAGCCAACATACACCTTCTCCTCTTTAAACACTAGCATCTCAAAGCCACATGTAAAGATAAGATAAGATCACTTTATTGGCCATATACAAGTTCTTGTATTAGGAATTTTGCATACCCCAGCTTGCTCTCCATGAGACACACAGACAGGGAGAGAAGCTGGGGGTCAGAGCGCAGGGTCAGACATTTTATACGGCGCCCCTGGAGCAGTTGGGGTTAAGGGTCTTGCTCGGGGGCCCAACGGAGTAGGATTCCTCTGTCGGCCGCAAGATTAGAACCGGCAACCTTCCAGCCACAGGCGCAGATCCTGAGCCACAGAGCCAGCGCACCGCAAGTGACAAGTGACAATCATTCAGATCCCCCCCATCCTAACTTGGAACAAGAGACTTGTCCTCTAATTCAAAGATTTGAACTCAAATCCCAGATATTACCATTGAGAAGACTTTGAAATCAACAAACATGTCTTGATGGCTGCAGAGTAAATCCATTCCAGGCATTCCCAATCCCAATCCCGATCCTGGTACCTACACATCTGCTGGTTTTTGTTGCATGTCAACACCCCATTAAATAATCTTAAAATCTTTAATTTGGACTCCGTCAGTCCCTCAACATGCAGGAGGTTACCTTTTAACCAACGCATTTCTTAAACAACTTAAAATCTCCAATCGTTGAGCAGAAAAGGAAATTACAAAGTGCCCATCCAAGCAAATTGTTTGTTCAATTAAGAATTAAGTACAGAGCTCAGCTGCAATGAAAACCAGCAGATGTGTGAGTTCCCAGGACCAGGACTACAAGAAAAGAAAGCTTTAAAGAGATTGCCTTAACACGTACAGCTTCTACAAAAGGAAGCACCTGCTGAATGGTACTTGGTACTAGAGGTCATGCAGCATTTAAATGACTCCACAACACTAGGGACATGCACTGCTTCATACAGTCAAAACTGGGAACAGCCATATCACCCAGCTCACAACTGGCAGCCCACTGAAGCTCAGCAGGTGTGAGCCTGGTCACTACCTGGATGGGAGACTTGTGGGAAAAACTAAGGCTACTGCTGGAAGAGATATTAGTGGGGCCAATAGGGGCCACTCACCTGCAGTGAAACTGTGCTGTGAGAAGGCGCCATCTTTTGCATGAGACGAAAGATCCTGACTCTCTCTGGCCATTAAAAATCCCAAGGTGTTTCTCGAAAAGAGTAGGGGTGTTACCCCGTTGTCCTGGCCAAATTTCCCAATGGCGTTTACCAATCATGGCCTCCTAATAATCCCCATCTTCATCACTCTCTTCACCTCCTGAGAGCTTGTGTGTGGTGAGTGTACTGGTGCACTCTGGCTGCTACTGCATCATCCAGCTGGTGGTGGAGGAGGAGAGTCCCCATTACCTGTAAAGCTCTATATAAGTGTGAGGAATTATTATTACTACATGTACTGCTTAAATATGTGGCCTTATGAAGATAGCGTGTTACATGATTCATACAGTACAAGACACAAATTGCAACAAATACAGCAATGTTAACCTGTGCAAAGAGTACTGAATTTTGACCTCTATAGTCTAAAAATGACAATCAGAAATTTCACATATTGACTTTATTTGTTTATTAAAAATGTATAGCAGGCTCAGATGAATCTGAAGTTTCAATGGTTCTGCTGAGAATATGGTTGACCACAAGTATAATGATTGGAAGTCATGAATAAAAGCTGGGTTAGGTAACATTCCTTTAGTTTTGAGTCAATAAAAAATGAAAACCGACTACTTTATTTAAAAATTATGCATATTTACATAAAATGAAAAAACGTATCCCCAACACACTGTTTTTCTTACTTTTTACAACTGAAATGAGAAAAAAAACACATTGCTGCAATCTAATTACAATTGCCTTACTTGCCTACTTTCGTTAAGGATTTCCAATAACAGTTTTACATCATAAGACTAACTTCTGCATTCTAAAACCCAGAAGATTAACAATTAAATACCATCTGTGGAAAAACAATCGGGTTTACAGTTTCCATCCAGAAACTTCACACTGCATTTGTTCTGCCGAGTGTGGGGGGAGAAAAAAAAAGAAACACAGTTGCACAGATAAAACATTTCAAAGCTGAAGCTTTGGAAACGACATATTGAGAAGGCAGTGTTATCGGTTGGTGGGAATAATAAAGGGATTCATGTCATATCCCGAATAACCCATTCACTTTACAGCTGGGAAGGAAGGAAGGGATTGAGGTCTTTTTACAACCTTAAGCCACCAGACCTTTATTTACAAGCACGACACCCCTATAGGAGGGCAGCTGGCACCGTCCAATACAACATTTTAACCGCTTGTCGGACTGGGATGTAAAATCGGCACAGCACATGTATCGAGATGTTTCTCTTTTTCTTACGTTTCATTCCCTCCCCCCCCCCCTTCACGTCCATGAGCAGTTTCCATTTTCACATGGCCAGGAGAACACCCAGAGGCTCAGTGGTGTGATGGCTCCAGCTTCCGAAGCCGCAGGGGGTTGGAGGGCAGGGCCTGCTGGCTGGGAAGCGAGGCGTTCTGCTCCGGGGAGCGGAAGAGCACTCTGCCACGATGGTTGAAGAGATAGAAGGAGGGATGGTTCCGCAACGTGTCGAATGTCCTGGGAAAGCAGGCAAGAACAGGGAGATTAATACTGGCTCCTAGGGGCACAGTGGATACAATGAAATACAGCACAATACTGTATTTCAGTGTTTGTATTCATAATTAAGATTAAAAGTGAATTGTGTGCATTCAAACCAGCCTGTATACCTAGCTTGTAGCATAAAAGGGAGCTGACATCAGCAATCATTCTGTGCAGATCAGAATGTTAAACAATAAATGTATCCGTGACTATCCCTTGATTTCAGGCTTCTGCTATGAATATGGCACTGAACAACAGCAATGTGCTTTTTTTCATTTTACATTTTACTGACATAAGCGACTCACAGGCCCCAGGAACCCTTTTAGATTTAGGACTTGTCATTTACATGAATCATATATGTAATCAATACGGTTTCAGAGTTTGTGACGTAAAATAGGTGGAGTTGGGCTAGAGGGGCTGGCTTAGCAGTGCAGTGCATGTAAATTCTATCATCTAGGCCCTTCCTGATGGCGAACAAAACCTACTTGTTCTTGAGCTCCGATGTGGCGTCCATGTCTTTAAACTCCCCAGCAATGTGCACAATGCCATAACAGGTCACTACGAAGGCCAGCAACGTTTGAAGAACTATCTGTAAATGCAGAGGAAACAAAGAACAAGCCTGAGAATGGTTTACATCAGACGATGTAATTGTGTACACAATCCGCAATGCCGGCACGGCGTGTGAGCACATCACACACTTACGTCACCAGGGAGAGTTTCATTCTCCTTCTCCGTCAGTCGCATGTAAGATCGATCTGGAAAACAACGCACATTGAACAATCACAGCCCCAGTGCGCTAACTCTTTGCACAGTGAAATAGGGTGCTGGTACGCGCCTCGGGATACGTTTTGCATCACTTGAGGATCAGAGGTATTGATTACTTTCATTAAGCAAATTTACAGCAGTATCTAGCCAACTATTAACACTAATAGGATATTTCACTATCCCACTGGGCACATCTGATTTCCATGAAACTAAGCAGTTTCAACAAACCGGTTTTGTGCCTTACATCTGCGTATACACACTTTGGTGCTTCTAACTGGTGATGTTATGCATTGGATGAGCTACTCTGCCTTGACTTTTTTACAATAAAAATAAATGACTATTTTGGAAAATTACTCTCGGCACCACGCCACCCAACCAGTGTCGGGCTGTTACTATTATCGATATTCTCTACTGCCAACAGCGATTTGAAGTAACAAAATACAACAGTTTCAAATTCACATTTCTTTACATTAATGTCAACACCAATAGAAGCAGCGCAACGGCTGCGCTGAATATAATTACCGGTAAATACCACATTTACATGATTTCATATTCTAGCAGTAAATAAAAAGCTTTTAAAATCATCACGAGTCCCAGCACACCAAAGTGAAGATGTTAAACTTCAAAATTCAGATGTTTTCCATAAAATATGTTGAGGTACCCTGTAATGTTTGGTGTCATCTAATTTAAAAGGAGAAGGGAGAGCGCTATTCGACGCAGATGGGGCCTGTCTCTCTTTGCTGTTAAATGATGTCCAAAATTAAAAAAAAAAAACAAAGCACTGCCGCAAGAGACCCTCAACATAAACACGTCAGTGTGCTTTTCTAATATGATGTAACTTACGCTGAGCCGCCGAGAAAGCTGCATGCGCTAAAGCGAAAAGTCCGATTCCGACAAGACCTTTCCAAACAGACGAAGCCATCTTCATCCAGGGAGTAACAGGGAGAGAGCTGTCAATGTAGCGCGATAAAATGTCGTAGGCACAGATGGCTGGGCGGAAGTACATGGCGCGTAATGATGACGTCTCGATAGGCGCTTGGGTCCGGACGAATGAGGCTAAAATTATCCTCTGATTGTATTTGTATTTGTAAATTATTTACAAGTTTAATAAAAAATTCTTTTAAAAAAAAAAGAATGAGGCTAAAATTCAATGTAACTCTGATTTCAAAACGTAATATACAATACGGCTTCTCGTGTAAAATGGAAACATTTAATAAAATATAGTTTAGAAACAGGAATCTCACAAAAATAAATTAGAAGCGTCGGGATAATGACAGCATCTTATTAGTGCGAATATTTGATCTATAACATTTGATTTGCAAACCCAACGGGGAAACCTGACTTTTCACTAGATAATTCCAATTCATCAGATTACGCGACAATCCGGTTATATTATCCAAAATACTATATTTTTAGATCGAACCTGACTACCAATAGGATCTAAAATATTCACAAAACCATTAATGCCCCAAAAGTTTACACAACGTGTTTTTGCATATTCCACAATCACGGTCCCATGTAAAAATAATTCAAAATTCTGTACAGTGACGAATTGCTTTAATGTGTTTGTGTGCTGATTTAAACGAGTTGTTGAACAGTTAATAAACGTTTCGGGTCTTCTTCTTTGTTTACTTTTGGGGGGGGGGGTCATTTTCCTTCGAAAACCAAACGCGTAGACAAATAATAGCACGGTCGTGCTATCTGCGCTAAGGTCTTCATTATTCTAAATCTTGTTGCTTCACACGAGGGTTTTTAGTATCGGGGTCGGGAGACACCTGCAACAAAACATTGTTCTTTTACAATGTGAAATATCTACTAATAACTAGCACAATCTGCCCAAGTCCCTTCTGGTGCGCCTGGCGGCCAACACATCCTTACATACTGTATGGCAGAAGCTTACGATCAACAGTTGTTTTATAATTTTATAATTGTTTTATAATTATAATTACAATGGAAAAAATATTCAATTGGTTCTTATTGAGAGGGGCTTACAGAATAAATGGTCGTCCAGTCTGCGGGGGGAAAAAATGTGGAAATTCTCTTATCCAGTTAGTATGATGAGCACAAGTAATTCTCTCTCACTCTCTCACACACATGAAGTTGCGAGTCTGAGCTCCGCTTTGCAGCGCTGGGTCACATGACGAGCTTCCCCGGGCCAGCTGGGAGGAGTGAGGGAGCCGAGCAGGACCAGCCCCGACCCCGGCAGGCGGCGGAGAGACGACAGCACGCATCAGGGGGCGCCGTCAGCACAGCCATGGGCTTCAAAACTCAGCAGCCGGCGGCCGCGGGGGTCTCCGGACGCCTGGCCCTGTCCGTGATGGCGAGCCTGCTGGTTTCCCTCTGCCTGAGCCGGGCCGAAGACGCCGGCATGGAGAACATTGTCACGGAGAAACAGGCAGAGGAGAGCCACAGGCAGGACAGTGCCAACCTGCTGATTTTCATCATGTTGCTCACCCTCACCATCCTGACCATCTGGCTTTTCAAACACCGCCGGTTCAGGTTCTTGCACGAAACTGGGCTGGCTATGATTTACGGTGAGGATCCTTCCCGAGCGACCGAAACTGCGGTGCCGTGATGTCGGATTTATGGGGAACTAGTGAGAACCCGCGTCTCTGTATTGCTTGTAGTAGCAGTCATGTGCGGTACAACTGTGCCCGCTGTTATGTTGTGCCATTTGTAGCGTGTTTACCGACAGGTCAGGGCCTTCTTGTGTGAGTTTAATGTCTCTGGTCCCTGTACGAATGTTGAGCCTGATAACGTTGTTGCTACAGCTACCACTTACTCCTTTTGTACATTTGTATCTGGGGGCTATGCACTGCCAAAATGCGCTCGTTATTTTTTCAGACGCTAACAACTTCAGCGCTGTGATTGAGCACAATACGAAGCCAGAACAGTTAATTATAAACCCCTTGCGTAGAAAAGGGGAATTTTCCAGACGGTTGGATGGATGGGGACTGGAAAACTTGGTATTTTATTTTCTATTTACGCAAAGAACCGCACTGGAAGGTTTTCTTCTCGAGTCAAGACGCGATGTTGGGGGATTAAGCAAGGCTGCTAAATGTTTTAGAATTTCCCTGTAACACGTGACGCTTGAAAATAGCGTCACTGTGCGAGGATAAGGTGAGATATGTTCGTTTTTACGCATTAGGATGCTGCTCAGCGCTCATACCCAGCTACCTTCTCAGTTTTCAAGTTGGGTTTCCCATGACCGCCCAGGTTAATCAATTTACTTCCTAAGCAGAAACCAAGCGAAACGCTTTTTTTTGTGTATTCACTGAGCTGAATACGTGTTGCAAAACTGTTCTAGAGAAGTATTGTCTTTGCACCATCTCCGTGGAGACACAAAAAAGCAATTACTGAAGATCGCCTTGCCGTGTTCAGTTTCGCAGGAGAGTCTGGTTTAGCCTCATTCCGGGCAGCAGTCTTCACAAACCTCTTCCGTGAAGGAGAACTACTGTCTCGTCCTCCGTGCTGAGCAGCTCAAACACCGGGGAAGTTTTGTTTCCGGCAGCGGGCAGAGGAAGGTGGCAGAATGTGTCGGTCCTATTTTTATATTTAGTGGTATGCGGCTTATTTGCTGAGACGGTATCGGTAGTTGAATTAACACATTAATTACTGGTAATCATATTGCCCTTACAAAATGTTAAGAAGGTGTGGCGAAATGGCATGAACTCCGGTGATTAGCGGGTATTTGCATGGTTTAGCAATGGAGCGCTATCAGAGTACAGGGGTTTTGCTTAAGCAACCATGCCTTGGTGAAATGTCTTTTTGCCTGAACAACTTGTGGTCCCTGTGACACCCTAGGCTGAGATGATAGCACTACAATGATTTGACTTTGTAAGCCCTCATATAAGGCCAGGACTAGAGGTTTAGTCACCCTTAAATTGCTTCATAATCAAGTTTAAAAGCCTGTGGTCATTGCTTTATGACTTACCTTGGCCTTAGCTTCTTAAAAGGCTTCTTCTGCCATACTGCCAGGTATGTCAGGTTCCAGACCTTGGAGAAACCTGGGGTGTTTGAGGGGACCCCAGGACGAGGGCAGGGAGATGGGCGGCACCCTGACTGTGTGTCCGTGTCCGCAGGTCTGCTGGTGGGCGTGGTGCTGAGGTATGGGATTCACGTGCCCAGAGACATCAACAACATGACTCTGAGCTGCCATGTCAACGCCAGCCCGGCCACCCTGCTGGTCAACGTGAGCGGGAAGTTCTACGAGTACACGCTGAAGGGCGAGATCAACGCCAACGAGGTCAGCAACGTGCAGGACAATGAGATGCTCCGAAAGGTAAGGTGGACTGCGCCCCGCCCTGTGACCCCTGACCCCTGACCCCCGACCCTTGACCCGCGGCTGGGGGAAGACAAGCCTGCTCTAACCGGCCACACTTCAGGCTCTCTCACCTGCGCTCGCTTCTCTGGGCCTCTTGTGGCATCATCTGTCCTACCTGAGGTCACGCAGAGCTTGGTCCCCAAGCCCATAGCAAATTAAAGTTGCAAAAGGAACTTTAAAAAATGTTTCAGGTCCAAATTTAGCTCGGGTACATACCCTGCATGACTTCTCTTGTGTTCCCCTTGATTTTTTTTTTAGACAGTTATTACAAGACACTCCCAGCTGCATCCCCTGTTGTTCTGGTGCTAGTTAGAAAGCACGTCTTCAGAAGTATTCAGAAGTTGCAGGCTATGTGCAGGCCCCTCGGGACACCTGGTGAGACTTTGTATACGTCCCTGCGTTTCCATCATGAAGTCACCCAGACGGGCCTTCCTTCTGGAAACTCTGTAAACACTCTGTGGGGTTGCCTTTGACATCGTGTTAAGGCATGTGGATTAGGATTTTTAAGGAAACTCAATCATTTTCCGTTTTTTTGTTAACGCAGATAAACGTGCGTGGGTAAAAACGCACCCTGTTGTCGCAAGACTCATTCGTGCCCTTCGAAGAAATCTCTGTCCCGTCTGCCTGTCGTACAGTTAGCTGTGTACAGTGTCAAGGCTTCAGTTAGCACTGACAAGGCGCAAAGTCCTTGAAGAATTAAATACGTTCCTGCCAACTTTACGTGTGTGACATACACCCGACAGAGGAACTCCAGACCTCTGCACAGAGCATTTAGCAGCAGCAGGTGTTCCAGGTTTAAAGACAATGGGTGTTTGTGTGGACACTTGCATGGGGCTCATTCAGTTCAGTTTATTGCCCTATGGACAAGTGCAATTAAATCCTCTTTTTATGTGTTGGCATTTGCAATCGTAGGAGATTTTTGCACACAAGTGTGCTTAGTACATTTCAGAATGTTGCACTAATTGTTAAAGTCTAGTGTATGAAATAATTACGTTGTATTCAGATCTCTTTTGTTTATTTAATATGACTTTTACTTCTAATCTAAATGACATTTGCTAGTTCTGCCATGGAAATTTACACAGTTCCCCTCAGTGCTTCTTCCTAATTCACTCTGACTGTAACAATACCTCGGGGGCACAGGTTGAGTGAGTTATGAAATTCAAATGTTGTAACTCCATTATGCAGTAGTGAATGGCTTGTAGTGTGAATCAAACACACTATGTACACTTACACATCCTGGAACGAGCTGGGTGTATCAGGTTTCCCTGCAGCTGCACTGCTGGTGAGAACCGCAAGACCAAGGCCCGGATTAAACACCAGTTTGATCCAACTCTTGAATTCCACCCACCGGGGTCTGTGGAGGTTTTCCTCTGGGTGGACTCGAGAGAAGCCCCCGGCGAATGAAAGACCACCATGGGGTGATGCGTTTGGAGTTTGACGCTGGCGAGAGGGTGGCGTTGTGGTTTGAGTCGTGGAAACGCAGGCTTACTGTCCTTCTTGCTGCTGCTCGAGCAGAGCTGGGTTCTGCTGGGGCACAGCACGTGGACTTCGGGGCGCCCGGTTTTCCCCCCCCAAACTGGTTTCCAGCTGGGGAAGGTTGTCCTCCTGCCTTGATGGGCATCGGGATCGTGCAACATGCATTCCTGCCAAGTGGCACTTTGCATGACGTTCTAGTTACCTCGTTGTAAGGAACAACAAACAGGCTTTCTTGTGGAAGATAATTTACATATCCGCTTGCTGTCGGCCCACCGGCTTCCGTTGAGGCTTGCTATTTGCATTGGCATTAGAAATCACTTTTACGAGCTGTATTGGGTTGTGCCATACCTGAAAAACATCCTGTATTCCTGGCTGGGTTATATTCAAATCTAGTTCTTGTTTCCACTGAAAAAGCCTACGTTTTGCCTGCCCATGTAAAAAAGGTGCAAAATAATTGAAAAATCTCACGCCCTTGTAAAGGTTAAAGGCCTGTTTGTCGCATCAGTTTGATTTTTCTGTGTGGGTTTTTTTTCTTCCCTACATTGTATATGATACCCGGGAGAGTGGATTCCTGTGTCCTTGTGACTCTTTTTTTTTAACTTCTCTCCAGGTGACCTTTGACCCTGAGGTGTTCTTCAACATTCTGCTGCCACCTATAATCTTTCACGCAGGGTACAGTCTGAAAAGGGTGAGTAGGTTTTGAGTCCGCGCAGAAAAGGGCGAGTCGTATCTTCTGGGGAAAGAATGGGGAAAGTCGTTTCGGTCACAAAATTTGCTTTTGCAGTTCCAGTAGGACTTACAGGGCTTCTTTCAGAGGGGAAGTGAAGGACAGTCCTGCATCACAGAGCAGAGGAGAGCGGGGGCCTTCAGGGATGGAACCCAGCGACTCCGCTGTCATCAAACCAAAAGGAAACGGGAACGAACGAAAAAGCAATTGCCAAAACACGACTAGGAGCTATGCGAGATGAGAGTGATGAGATTTGACCCCCCCCAGAAGTTTGTGATTGTATAACTGGAGTGTCCTGCAGATCATATGAGGCTGAAGCAGTAGTTTCTGCTCGTTGCTGTCGGAGAAGTAAAATTAATTCAACCATTTTATCTTCTGTTTTCTGTTTCAGAGACACTTCTTCAGAAACCTGGGGTCTATCCTGGCTTATGCCTTTATTGGGACTGTCATATCCTGTTTTGTCATAGGGTGAGCAGAGATTGAGTAGGCTGTTATGGCCTCTGAAATGTTAAGGTGAT